GGAAGAGTTTTCTACTGGATTCTAAGGTACAGTTGTTGGACCTGAGGTAAAAATGTGACACTTTCAGTACTGGCCCTGTGTTTAATAGTCTTATGACCTTCAATCACAACGGAAAGAAAAATCCACAAATACTTCTAATTCCTACCTTTCATTTCTTGCATTCTTTTCAGAATTATCTTTTGGATAATAATAGTTAAAACATCAAAGGGATTTAAAAGTGTTATAAATACATGTGTAGGAATACTGTGCAAATGAAATAGAGAGAGGGAGACAGAGAGAGAGAGAAAGAAGGGGGGGAGAGATTGAGAGAGAGGGAGAAAAAAGGTAAGATGGAGAGGGAGAGAGAGAAGGAGAGAAAAAGAGAGGGAGAGAAGAAGAGAGAGGGGGAAAGAAAGAAGACGGGGAGAGAGAGAGAGGGAGAAGGAAAGGGAGCATATTGTTTCTAAGGAAAAACAGAACCAAAAGGAAGTTTCCTTCAATCATTATTAAAATGAAACTCTATCCCCCAGGCTACATCTACACAAAAGGCAGCAAATTTCTCTTTGACAGAAAACTCACACAGTAATATAGAATATTGCTATATTAGATATTTGTTCTACTTGAATATTCTAAAATGCCTATTGCCCCGTGTGAACCTTAAAATAATCAAGAAATGGCCACAAGTAAAACTCAAACTCTCAGTTGGGTAGTTATTTTTGTCTTTTCTAATGTCAATTGCAAATTAAACTGTGTCTGCAAAAAACCCCACAATCCAGTATTTGACAGGTCAGAGTTCCCCAATGTTTCCGGCTCTGCAGACTGGCAGAGGGAGGGAGAAGGGATGGCTCTGCGCAAGTGGCCGGCAAGTGTGCACAGCTCCTTTTGTGCGAGCAGCGTGCACGCACGCCTGTTCACTTAAATGGAGCCCTCGCATACGTACACACCCACTGCTCATGCAAGTGACGATGTGCATGTGCGCACATGCTCGTCAGCTGTTTCCGTGACCTAGTTGCAAACCTCTCACAGCCCAGTAGTGAGCTGTAGCCCACAGGTTGGGGACCCCCATGATAGATTACCTATGATTACCTAGGTTTTTCAATCTTTCTTTCTTTCTTTCTTTCTTTCTTTCTTTCTTTCTTTCTTTCTTTCTTTCTTTCTTTCTTTCTTTCTGAGACTTATATACTGTTTTAAGTGCAAGCACTCTCTAAGCGGTGTATACCAGTAAGCAATGTATATATATATATATATTTACATTGGCCCCCAAAATCTGGGTCCTCATTTTACCTACCCCGGAAGGATGGAAGGCTGAGTCAACCTTGAGCCGGTGAGATTTGAACCGCTGACCTGCTGAACACAGTCAGCTAAAGTGGCCTGCAGTACTGCACTCTAACTGCTGCGCCACCTTGGCTCTTTTCACCCATTGTACCACTTTTAGGATATGGCAATATCCGAGTACCACCAGTCACCTAGCAAGGTGTCAAAAACTTGATGACCAAAAAAAAAAAGAAAAAAAGTGATGAAGTACAGGTAATCCTCGACTTACAATAGTTCGCTTAGTGAGTGTTCGAAGTTACAGTGGCACTGAAAAAAATGCCCCCCAAGCCACATCCAAGCAAGACACCTGCCTGCCCGCCTGGCAGCGCTCTTCCTCCTGTCCGAGGTTTTCATTGTTGTGAGCATTTCTGTTGAGGATTGGCAGCGGGGGTGGGGTAGGGGTGTTTGGTTTTTATTCCCCCCATCTGCTGGGTGGTTGCAGCAGGTTTTGGTCACTTCACATGACCCTGGGACACTGACCGTCATAAATATGAATCAGTTGCCAAACATCTGAATCTTAATCACAAAACCCTGGAGATGCTGCAACATTCCAGCTGATCGGCGCTTCTTCTGGGCTCAGAAGCGCCAGGATCAGCGCCGAGCTCCAGCTGGAGCCTGGTGCTGATCCTGATGCTTCTGCTGAGCCCTGACAGCCCTGCAGCTCCAGTCATCTCTCTCTCAGGCTTGTGTGGTGCTGCCACCGGTTCAGCTCATTCCCCTCCCCGTTACCACTTTTCTAGGATGGTCGCGTACCACCTGCCAGGTGCCAATGTACCACAGGTAGTTAAAAAGCCTTGACCTATGACACTCAAGGCGAGCACAGAAAAAGAAAGGTTGTAAAATGGGGCAAAACTTACTTAACAACTGCCTTGCTTAGCAATGGAAATTTGGGGCTATCCACATTCCCTTTCCTGTTTCAGGGATCAGTTCTGGTACGGTGTTTGGAAAATCTGCTTTTGAGCTCTTCTAATGCTCGTGAAGTAAAAGCAAGGGAAGAGGAAAAAATAACTTCTGAACACCTTGTGACAGGAAAGAACTCCAATCGCAGAGACTGGATGTTCTGGTCGCACCTGCCAACAGGTTAAGACACGGGAAAGAAAAATGCAGGAGAATCAGAGAAAGAAAACAAAAGCCAGACCAGGATATCCTGCACTGGATAGGAGGCCTAGAAATCAGGAATGCCATGTGCTATTTACCTTTTGACTTTAAAACTCTCCCTTAGCAAAAAAAAAAAAAAAAAAAGCCCCAGCAACTATTTAAAATAAAGATATCTGCTTGATGTACCAAACGTTAAGCCCATGTCGGGTGTTTTTGTCACTGAGGTGATTTTGAAGCTTTCTTTCCAGTACATTCCATCCAAGACACAGCCTACAATGCAGTTTGAAAAGCCCAGGCCTCTTTAGGAGTTAAGTGACAGGAATCTTTGGAAGCGAGTTCAGACCCCTTTCAAATAATGTACATCTTTGAATTAAGGCATCAGAACTGGATTATTATTTCATAGCTCCCAGATTAAAGTCAACTATTGTTTCTTTGAAAGGGTGAGGGGGGAAGGGAAGACAGAAAAAGGGGAAAGAAGGAAATGAAAAGCAGAAAGAAGAATTAAGAGAAGGGAATGCGGGAAAGGAAGGGAAGGGAAGGAAACTGGAGCAAAGGGAAGGAAAAAGAAAAAAGAAGGGAAGGGAAATAGAAAAAAGGAATGGAAAAGGAAAAAGGGAAAAGAGAACGAATGAAAGGAAAGGAAGGGAGAAAGGAAAGGAAAGGAAAGGAAAAGGAAACATAGGGGGAAAAAAAAGAACCAGGTGGTTCTTTTTTAATGATTTGATCTTTGTTAGGAACATTAGTCACTGCATCTCTCTGAGTTTCTTTCTACCTGTCCTTTCACCAAGAGAAGCACCATCTATGACCAGCATGTTCTCTGGTTCCATGTTTGCTCCTTCTCTCTCCGGCACTCAGCACAGCGGAGAAAGATCTTACAGGAATTACCGGTGCAAGACCAACATTTTGCTAATTACATCCTCCTCTTTCTGAGTAGATGGATCTCGATAGCACGGTGTCATCTGAGGTCAACAGGACAGGAAAGATTAATATAATCTCCTTCCTAATCAGATTGAGCTAGTCCACAGGTACAATAGCACAGATCGGGGCTTGGCTTCCTTTCCAAGAGGCTTAGAGTCTGGACGTTTCTCATTAATTTCTGGTTTAAATTAATTTCTTTTGCCTCTGGGTCTGGCTCCATTGGTTTTTAGAAACCGTTTTCAGTCAACCTGGCTAACGAGAGCTGACAGCACATTCTAGACCAGGGGTCTTCAAACTTGGCCCTTTTATGACTTGTGGACTTCAACTCCCAGAATTCCTCAGCCAGCATGCCTGGCTGAGGAATTCTGGGAGTTGGAAGTCCACAAGTCATAAAAGGGCCAAGTTTGAAGACCCCTGGTCTAGACTTTAGGTCTCCCTTTGATCCATTAGAGTTTGAAAAAGCCAGGAATCATCTTGAGCCGAGTATTTGGGTTACAGATTTCCAAATCAGTTTCAATCCAGCCTCCAAATCCATGTGGTTTTTTTTTTTTTTCATTTTTCAAATGGGCAAGTGTCTCCATCCCCTCTTTGTTAGCCTTCACCTTGGCCAGGTTGAACATGCTACTCTTTCCAGCCTGTAGGGCCTTATAAAAATATCCTTCCTCAGCAGCATACATGAGGCCCATGTGGAGATGGTTTTGCGGTGTCCCTCAGCCTTTGGCACCTTTGTGACTCTCTTGGTGGTTGGCTCAAAGTCATCCAGTCATTTTACATGCCTAAGGCAGGTCTAGAACTCACAGTCTCCTGGTGGTTGGCCCAAAATCACCCAGCTGGTTTTGATGTTTAAGGCAGGACTAGAACTCACCATCTCTAGGTGGATGGCTCAAAGTCACCCTGCCATTTTACATGCCTAAGGCAGGACTAGAACTCACAGTCACCTGGTGGTTGGCCCAAGGTCACCCAGCTGGTTTTTATGCCTAAGGCAGGACTAGAACTCACCATCTCTTGGTGATTGGCCCAAAGTCATCCAGATGTTTTTCATGCCTAAGACGCGACTAGAATTCCCAGTCTCCTGGTGGCTGGCCCAAAGTCACCCTGTTGGTTTTCATGCCAAAGGTGAGACTAGAATACATTGTCTCCTGGTTTCTAGAGGAGAACCTTTACCACTAGGCCAGGGGTAGGCAACCTTGGCTCTTTTATGACTCGTGGACTTCAACTCCCAGAATTCCTGAGCCAGCCATGCTGAGGAGAAAGGGAGAGGTTTCCAAGCTGAGCCATGCTGGCTCAGGAATTCTGGGAGTTGAAGTCCACGAGTCATAAAAGAGCCAAGGTTGCCTACCCCTGCACTAGACCAAAAAAACTCAACAATTCTCTCGCTTAGTAACAGAAACTTTGGGCTCAGTTGTGGTTGTAAGTCAAGGACAACCTGTAAATAAACATCCTACAAAACTATATACCACCCAGAAGTCACCTTGAGAGTGTGATGAATAATACCTAAATCTGACAAACAAACAAACAAACAAATCTGTCCTGCCAATTGGAGGCTTTCTAATCTGAATCTTTCTTTCTTTCAGATCCAAATTTTGTGAAAACTGTGTCCAGCAAAGACAGAAAGGAAACAAGAGACCCCCCCCCCCTTTGTCTTCTGGCATAACAGGGTCTTTATTCTGCAGAATTAACTTTGTGCTCACCTGTTCTTCAAACGCAGCTTAACTTCATTCAACCACGATGTTTTGCCAGACTGCGAGTCGGACTTGAGACCCTCTGGATTGGGAGGCTGGGCGGTGTTGGTGGCCGAATGGCCCTCTGCTGCCAAGGTATCTCTGCAGGCCCAAAAGCAAAGTGAAGGTTTGAGACCCTGCTCCTACGGCGATCGAGATAAAACACCTCTTTGGAGTCCAACACATTAGCGTAGTTCCAGTACTTGGCTACTAAAGCTTTTCCGTTCCGTGTTTCAGCCTGACATTCTCTTGGACTGGCTGACAGTCCATGTTGGTACCCATCTAGGATATTGAGACTGAAACTGCTTGAATTGGTAGCCAGTAGGACTTAAGTTAGAGGAACTGTATCTCGATATATTTGAAAGTTAAGAGATTAAAAAATGCCATCACAACACAATTATAAATAATGTGTATTTTAAAAAATTACTTTAGTAAGAATATGGATGGATGGATGGATGGATATCCTCTCTCTCTCTCTCTCTCTCTCTCTCTCTCTCTCTCTCTCATACACAGAGATTTATCACAAGATATAAAATTATCTAAAACCAACTTGATCCATGGGATTCAGAATAAAATTCAAGTTTTTATTCCCAAACAAATGTACTTTAAAGCAGAGTTGTGCTTTCTTTCTTTTTTTCTTTCTTTCTTTCTTTCTTTCTTTCTTTCTTTCTTTCTTTTTCTTTCTTTCTCTCTCTTTCTTTCTCTTTCTTTTTCTCTTCCTTCTTTTCCTTGTTCCTCTCTTTCTCTTTCTCTCTCTCTCTGACTCTCCACTTAGTCCATTACTATCTGCTATAACAAACAGTTTACAAACAGAAATTGCAAACTAACTCAACGTTTATATATTATTATAAAAATAACAAGTTTTACCTGCCTTTTGCCTATGTTACACTGAAAACTGTAAATTAAATTCTACATAAGTATTACACATCACAGCTATTATAGCTGTTGGAGAGATGGTGGGATGTTTCTCTAACGCACTTCATATGAATTTAAAATAAAAGTCTCTGATGCTTGCATTATTTGTTCAGTTAATAATTTCTCCATCGTATCACCTGTATTTACAAGCAGATTATCAGAATTTATCACATGTTTTTCTCCCAATTGCATGCATGTGGTTGGCGCAATTAAGTCTTCATTAAATATGCCGTGAGAAAGGAGACATCTGAATTCCAATGTCAATGTTATTATTTTATTTTTGCTTTCTTCAATCTGAAAGATCAATAAATCAAAGAACGACTGAAAATCTGTTCGGTTTATGGAGAGCCAGAAAGCCACAACTACGTACACAACCAAAACAAGATTGCAAGAGAAGGTGTTTTTTTTTTAAGTGATCCGTTGTAGAATCAAATCAAGGAAGTCAGTATTATTAAAGCTGAAATTAAGACTAACTATTATTTATCACTTATATTTTCCTTCAAAACAACTCCATTTTCCATACTTGGAATACTGCATCCAATTTTGGTTGCCACAATATAAAAAAACATGTTGAGACTCTGGAAAGAGTGCAGAGAAGAGCAACAAAGAGGATCAGGGGACTGTAGGCTAAAACATATGAAGAACGGTGGCAGGAATTGGGTATGTCTAGTTTAATGAAGAAAAGGACAAGGGGTGACATGATAGCTGTCTTCCAGTATCTCAGGGGCTGCCACAAAAAAGAGGAGGCTCAACTTATTCTCCAAAGGACTTGAAGGCAGGACAAAAAACAATGGATGGAAACTCATCAAGGAGAGAACCAACCTAGAATTAAGGAGAAATTTCCTGACAGTGAGAACAATTAATCAGTGGAAGGGCTTTGCCTCCAGAAGTTGTGGAAAGTCCATCACTGGAAGTTTTCAAGAAGAAACTGGATTGCCTGGATAGCTGAATTGGACATTCAGTTATGAGGCAACGGACATTCCCCCATAGACGTTTTGTATATAATTATGTGGATTGCATGTATATGTTTACTTGTCTTCTGTCATGTTCTCATCATACGCTAAATAAATAATAAGAGCCATTCCCAGACCCAATCTGAACTTCCTTCATTCCATATTAGTGAGACTAATTCTTTGCCCATAGACCAGACATGTCAAACACAAGGCCTGGGGGCTGGATGCGGCCCGCAAAGTGGTTTCATGTGGCCCGCGAAGCCATCCTGGAAACAGTGAGGGAACGGCCCCTGCTGCCTTGGCCCTGGCAATTTTGTGGTGGCCATCTTGGCATTGCCCCGGTGGACCATGCCTTGGCACTTGCCCGGTCCCACCCCCTTCTGCCAGAGACCCTCAGATCTGTCCCACTCCTGCCCAGGCCCCCACAGGCACCCTTGACGCGAACGATGTAGAACTGACCATGCCCACCCAGTAGGCCACACCCACTCCATCCACACCCACCCAGTAGGCTGCACCCACCCTGGCCACACCCAGCCCCCCCCAGGGCAACCGCAATGCTGATGTGGCCCTCAGTGAAATTGAGTTTGACACCCCTGCCATAGACGATCCTCTTAAGAATCCAACTTTCTGATCTTGGAGAAAGAAGAAATCAAATACTGTGAGAAAAGAAAATGTTCTAAGCTTCTCCTGCTGTCAAGTCTGGATCGGGCAGAAAAAAGAGCATGTCGTATATTTGGTAGGTTGGGAGCTTAAGATGGTTTGGATGGCTGAGATTCCATTGCCATGAAGGACACCTCTGCTCTGAGTGTTCACCACCCCCTTTGTCGTCCCCCCCTCGCTGCAAGAATGTTAAGCCCCAGCATTGCTTACCCCCGAAGCCTTACAAGAATACTTTCACCTTCAATTTCGGCATCTGAACAATATTCTGGCACTCCAGATCTTCTGTCACCTGCTTACCCCGTCCATTAAATCCCACCCCGCTTTTCGCTCCATACTTGGCCATACTCTACCAGCTGTTCTTGGATCTACATGGTGCAAAGAAGGAATGTTTCTTCTTAGCTACCAAGGAGGCAATGAACGTAAGCAGAAAAGTTAAGACGCATTTCCTCAAGAAGAGAATATTTGTAGCTGTGGGGTCCTTGGTGTTGTCTAAGCTTGGAGATCCCAAAGGTGCTTTTTTCATGAGGCAACTGGATTTTCTTGGTTTTCCTTGAAGACATTTCACTTCTCGTCCAAGAAGCTTCTTCAGCTCTAACTGGAGGGTGGGGAAATGGAAGGATTTATACCCCTTGCTGACAGCTGGTCATTTGCATTCTTTTACAGAGTCGATAAGACCACACGGAGGTTTATCGGTGTCCTCAGGGTTACCTGAGTAGTGCAAATGGGTGTGGAGCCTTCTTGGAACTGTTGAACTACTAAGGGGACAACACAGATAAGCCTCCACGGGCATCAACAACTCGGTAAAAGAATGCAAATAAACATCTGTCTGCCAGGAATATAAATCCTTCCATTCCCCATCATCCAGTCAGATCTGAAGAAGCTTCTTGGATGAGAAGCGAAACGTTTTCAGAGAAAAACAAGAAAGTCCAGTTGCTTCTTGAAAAAGCACCTTTGGGACAACCATGACCTGGATAACTGAGAATCTCCACAGACATGAGGTTTTCTCGCAGACATTTCATACCAAACTATATAACATAATAGGTGCTAGAAGCCACCTAACACTGATGATGTTACCTAGTATGGTAATAAAACATCTGCAAGAAAACTCATCAAGCTCAGAGAACACCTAGGACCCTACACATTTCCTCAACCTAGCACTTCCACGTGTGTTGGCTACCTTGGGTCAAGTCTAGTCCAGTGCATTAGGGGCTTGGAGAAGCCTGGATGAGGTCAAAGAGTTGGCTATGACCTGGGAATCTCCACTTCCAATCTTAGTCAACACCATGAAATCATGAGAACTTAGCTTGGACCACAAGAGAATGGCATTCCATTTTTCTGCTCAGCTTTAAAATGAAAACGAACACCTTTCAGCAAATATAAGCCTAATCTACTTACTTCACAAGGCATTGAGAGGATAGAAAAGGATAATCTCCTACAACCCATGAAGAAAGGGCGAGATGTCCACATATGAGCACGCATCAGTATTTCCCAACTCCATGCAGGAATTTTGCACGGATTAGTGTGATATAATGTTAATATGAGGCAGGGCTCTATCCCAAAGACTAAAGCTGTACCAGTCCTTCAAATGAGGTGCTTTATGACAGGGCTCTCCAACCTTGGCAACATTGAAGACTTGTGGACTTCAACTCCCAGAATTCCTCAGCCAGACATGTTGACTGAGGAATTCTGGGGGGTTGAAGTCCGCAAGTCTTTAAAAGTTACCAGGCGGGAGACCTTTGCTTTACGAGACATGGCGGAGCAACCAAGTACCTCTTCTTGAAGCATTTCAGCAGGATGATTCTCAATCATCCAGGTTAGTGGTTCTCAACCTGTGGGTCAGGACCCCATTTGGGGTCGAACGATCATTTTACGGGGGTCGCCAAACAATGCAGTCCGCCATTTTTCCCCCCTTTTCCTGAGCTGTGCTACTCCCTTTTATTCTATTGGCTTTCGAAAGCCAATAGAATAGACTCTCTTGAATAGAGTCTAATTCTATTGGCTTTCAAAAGCCAATAGGAATTGTCCAGGCTGTCTATGCCCTGCTGAGCCTGCCAAAAGTCCCATTCTGCAAACGGTGCTGCACCAGTTGAGTAGTCCTCGACTTACGACCGGTTGAGTAGTCCTCGACTTACGACCGGTTGGGGGTCGCGGCATTAAAAAGGTTGAGAACCACTGATCCAGGTCATGACTGTCCCAAAGATGTTTTCTCCAAAAGGCAACAGGACTTTCTTGGTGTTTTCTTTGAAAACGTTTCTCTTCTCGTTCAAGAGCTTTCCTCAGTTCTCTTCAGAACTCAAGATACCTGAACTGAAGAAGCTTCTTGGATCAGGGGCGAAACCTTTTCAAAGAAAACATGAAGAAAGTCCAGTTGCCTTTTTTTGGGGGGGGGAGCATCTTTGGGACATTTCAGCAGCTGCAATTTTTCCAGGCTCATAGTAGGCCTGCTTTGGCAGCCATCATGCAGAGTAAGCCAAGATCAATCACTTCCTGAACCAGCCACACAAGCTTGGGAAATTGGTGGCTGGTTTACAAATTTGGAAAGCGCTTGGTAGAGACTTTTTCTGAAGGATTCAC